AAAAAATCACCAGTTCCCCCCATTCTCTACCACAGGGTTTCTCCACCTGGGCACTCCCAACACTGAGGGCCAGAGAATTCTTTGCTGTGGAGCTGCCCTGTACATTGTAGAACGATCAGCAGCATCTCTGGCTTCTCCCTGACTAGATGCCAGTGGTACCTCCTCCAGTAGTAAACAGAATAATGTCCCATGGGAGATGTCCATGCCCTAGTCTCTGGAACCTGTGAATATGTTAGGTTACATGGCAAAGGGGAATTAAAGGTTGCTAATCGGGGCACCTGGGTGGCTCCGTCGGTTAAGGGTCCGACTTCAGCTCAGGTCATGATCTCGCGGTTGGTGGGTTCGAGCCCCACGTCTGGCTCTGTGGTGACAGCTCAGAGCCTAGAGACTGCTTCGGATTCTGTGTCTCCCTCTCTCTCTGCCCCTCCCTGCTCGCACTCTGTCTCTGTCTCTCTCAAAGATAAATTTTTTTAAAAAGTTTTTAAAAAGTTTAAAAAAATAAATAAAAATAAAGGCTGCTCATCAACTGATCTTAAAATAATGAGATTAGCCTGGATTATCCAGGTGAACCCACTGCAACCACAACGGTCCTTAAGAGAGTCAGAGGGAGAAATGACCATGGAAGAGAGTCAAAGAGATGCAACAAGGCTGGCTTTGAATATGGAAGATGGAGGCCACTGCAAAAGCAAAGGAAACAGACCCTAGAGCATTCAGAAAGAACACAGCCCTGCCAACAACATGACTTTAGCCCCGTGAGACCCATTTCAGACTTCTGACCTCCAGAACTATAAGGTAGTAAACTTATGTGGCTCTAAGCCACTAAGTCTGGGGTAATTTGTTCTGGCAGCAATAGGAAACTAATGTATCACCACCCCCAGCTGTGACAACCAAAACTGTCTTCAGACATTGCCAAATGTCCCCTGGGGACAAAGTCGCCTCCAGGTCGAGAACCACTACTCCACAAAATGTTGAGCCCAAACTCCTGAGAGGTGCACAGTGGGCCTCTTCATAAGGAAGGCTACCCAAACTTTTGACTTTATGTACTGTGACCTCTCTGTAGATTTAATGACAAGAGGAGCTTTGGAGGGCGGGCCATATGCTTTGGCCCTCGTGCCATTTGCATCCATGCCCATAGCTAGTTATTATCCCCCAAATGTGTGTGTGGTTTCTGGTCTCATTAGGTTACTGTACAGACAGCCAGGTGGTTGCTACACACATTAACCCCCAGAGCTCCCAACCTCCTCCTCCAGACAAATGCTGCACTCGAGCCCCTGTGAGCCCTCTTGGGTGGACACTCTGGCGTCACCAACACCTCTGTGCCTTTGCATGTCCACTCCTTTCTCTTTCATCAAAGGACCACCTCCCTTCTTCTTCTAAATGCTAGGCATCCTTGCAGATCAAGTTCAAGTGCTCTCTGCACCGTGATGCCTTCCAAAATTCTCCAGAGCACAATGGCACATCACCCCCCGCACCGCCCCGTCCCTCATTGTGCTGACCCTTCTGCACTGTACCTACTGGTCAACTCCTCTGTCCTCCTCACTAGACCGTGGGGTCCTTAAGCGCCAACACCATTTGGCAGCCTCCCTGCATTTCTGGTGCCTAGAGAAATCGTGTGCTCAAGACGTGCTTATGGCATGAATGAAGAAAAGAAGTCATGGATAGAGAGAGATCATTTTACTTATGGATTATCAAAGCTGGCAAACTCCAAGTCAGCAATGTGCATAATCCCGGCTCTGATCCATGAGAATTAGGAGAATTCCAGGGTTGGAAGGAGACCTTACTCCTTTGTCTGAGAGCAGAATCAGGGACAGAGTTTGACCTCTAAGAATACAAGTTGAGAAGCGTATACCAACTGTGCATCACGACGCACGGTTTATCCCTTTGTTTACTCAGTAGGCACTCTACCTCACACGCCCACGAATCCGATTTTGTTTAAGCGATCCTGAAACACATAGTAAGGAAATATTAATAGAGTTGTAACTGACTTTGTTTAATACCTCCTGCTTTTAGGCCATAAAATGGTCATTTGGGAGCTGTGAGTGAGTACAAGGCATAGAGCTGCAGGCATTTATGAGAGTCTTGGGAGCGGGGGGCCACTGTGTGAACAATTTAGTTGAAAACCAGAGAATCTGCTCAAAGAACTAAGCAGAAACAAATGTGATCCATCACTGGCTAAATCTGAACGAAGGTGAACTGTCAGGTTTGGCTATGGATTCAGGGGAAGAGAAACAGAATAGTTGAACAAACCATAGGACACATGCATGACTCAAGAGAGATCCACCTGGTTTGGAATTGGACAAAAGCCCCAGGGAAACTTTGTGCCAGCTGAAACACTTCTGTGGGCACAGGCAGCTGGCTTGACGTGCTACATTCAACTCACGGGTGCAGTGGTTCTCAACTAGAGCGATTTGGGCCTCCAGGGAACATTCGGCAGTGTCTGTAGACACGTGTCATTGTCACACTGGTAAAGAAGAGTGCTCCTGGCATCTAGTGGGTAGAGGCCCAGGATGCTACTAAACATCCCACAATGCACAGGGCAGCCTCTCCCACAAAGAATCATTTGGCCACAACTGTGAATAGTGCCGAGGCTGAGAAACCCAGGGTAACCAGGAAAAGACAAGAACCAAAATGCTCTTCTAGAGCCCACTTTAAGTAACCTTGCAAGATGTCCATTTGTTGGACTTTTGACATTATTGATACAGATTCTCTTTTAGGAGAAAGGATCCAGCTTGTTGGCAAGTGAGGACAAGCAGCGCTCAACTGGATGAATTTCCTTGGTTGTTTGAGAAGATTCCAGGGCATTAAACCTTTGAAAGGTAACCTAGGCCATTAAATTCCAGACCCAGGGGTTATGATAGGATATGTGGGCCTCTACTAAACAAAACCAGCCCTGAACTTTCATTCCACTCCTTGTCTGCCTCAAGAACAAAGAAATTACACACACACACACACACACACACACACACATTTTATGAGAAAATGTTGCTTTTGCGCTAGATGGCTACATGCTAAGTTTTAACCATTGCAAAGAGGAGAATCATGGTAGATGACCTTGCAGACTGCCCAAATACTGCATAGAACAGTCAAAAGCCACCAGTATCACTGCAATTCAGATACTTGTCCGTTGATTATGAGATTTCAGTCACTAAGAAGATAATTTCTAACCGGCCATGATCATCTACACTAGAATACCTTTGGGTCATAACAGCAGCAGCATCTGTGTATTCCAGGTATGTACAGTTGTTAAGAAAAGCAGAGACATTCTCAACGAGGCCGTTGGGTTTAAACATGAACATCAGTGGCTATCGAATCCAAGAACTTGGCTTGCCTTCGCATTTCTCTCTCAGCTCACACAGATTATTCTGATAATGCATACTTCTTTTTTTTTAATGTTTATTTATTTTTGAGACAGAGAGAGACAGAGCATGAACGGGGGAGGGTCAGAGAGAGAGGGAGACACAGAACCCGGAGCAGGCTCCAGGCTCTGAGCTGTCAGCACAGAGCCCGATACGGGGGCTTGAACCCACAGACCGTGAGATCATGACCTGGGCCGAAGTCGGAAGCTCAACTGACTGAGCCACCCAGGCGCCCCTGCGTACTTCTGATATATAGTGCGAATTCAGCCCCTTCTAAAGACCAAGAGAAATGCAACATCCAGATTTTTCATACTCTTTCGAATGCTGAGTTTCCTGGTTTGGAGAGGATCTCTTGTTCTCTGGCTTGACTTTTCTCTCCACTGCCTATCTTCCTCAAGAAAACAGGCAGAACAGTCAGCAATGTTTGTTAGTTTTTGTAATCCATACTCAACATCCAAACCCAACAGCAAGTTACTTTGACATCATAACTAATACTGTATTCATATATGATACTAATATTTCCGATTAATACTGCTGATTTTTCTCAGGCGGTCCATTAAAAGCCAAAATTTCATAGTTATCTCATGTTAACAGAGGGAGGTATGATCTTGGATGCTATTTTCAAACTGTTTTTCTTGGTTGTGTTCCCTTTATTTAGTCCAAATCTCTAGCAATTACATGGTATTTCATTTCATTTCTGTAATTCTAACTGCACTTTAAAATATTTAATTACAACTGATGGAATCTCCTTTTCCTTATGGAAACAGATCCAAGGCAAATCTATAGAATTTGTGAACTGAAAGAGACCAGAGTTGCTCATTTCTAAAACAACTGCTATTTATTCTCTAAAAGCATGTTGCTTTCCAAGTACCCAGCAACCACAGTTTCCCAAGAACTCTGTTCTCCATTCTTCTTTCCAGACAGCAAACATTTCAAAGGTACCAAATAGCTCCCTCTGAGTTCCCTATTTATTAAGGATTCCTGATTCACATATATTTCACGAACTACTAGTTGTCCTTAGTGCAACTGGGGCATGTTTCCATGGTATTTCCTAGCCTGAAGCAGAGATTCTTTTTCTCCTAGATTAAACTAGTACTCGCTACCATAGTTTTCTGAAATTAGATCTTTAGGGAGAAGAAAAGATCCAAACTAGAGAATTCTAGTAGTTACTCCCTACACCACCCAAACACACACACCTCCACACATAATCAACAACACCGTCCAGAGTGTTTCTGAATTCTCCGTAGAACAACCAGATGGCAGACATATTTCAAAACACATTACATCCAATCCTTACAAGAGCATAGGAATTAGATCATTTGAGTTCAGAAAAACACCCACATTGGATGAAGGGATAAGATGACCCTTGGAGATCGCCTGCAGCACAAACAGGAAAGCAGAACATCGTATCTCCCTCCAGTTCCCACCACTACTCCAAAGTGGAGCCAAGAAGTCCTAATAAGACACACATGGGTGGCCACTAGGGACGTCCCATTTCCAGGCATCATTTAATCGGCGAAAGAACAGCCACACGGTGGAAACCTCTCAGCGGGCCCCTGGCTCTGTAAGTGTTAACGGCATTAAACAACTGCCCAGGTGTCCAGCCTTGGGCCGTGAGAACGCGCAGCACCGGACCCTACCTACCTCGGACTTCCATACAACGTAGGGGTGGCTGTGGCTGTTGGGGGGGGACTGGAACTTTCTCTGCTGGAGCCACCTCCGGGGAGAAGCGAAGATGCCATTGGGGCCACCCCCCGAGGAGCAGAGGATGGCGCTGCGGCCACTGCCGGGCCCGGCCAGGACTGAGGGCAGGTCCCAGGCCATGCTCTTCTTGAGGCCGCCGCGACCCAGAGGGACCTCATAGTCAAAGTGGAAGCTGCCAGACGGTGACTTCTCCTGAGGGGTGCTGGGCGTGGAGTGGGATGAGCAGAGGGGTCTAGGGGGCGGGAGTCGGCTGGCCCGGGGGTGTGGGCCCCGAGGAGAGGACGCCGAGCGCGGGCTGAGACCCTCGGCCGGGGGCAGCGCGGAACACAGGCGGCCCCCGGTGGCCCCCCGCGAGCTGCCCTCCACGCCCGCCTCGCCCCCACAGCCGCCGATCAGGGCCGGGTCCAAGCTGCGGGTCTGGCGCAGCTTCCTCTTGGAGAAGCCCTTGGCCGAGGCCGCGCCGCCCGAGGCCGGCGAGGAGCAGGAGAAGACACTGTGGAGTAGGCTCTGCGCGGACATCTCGGCGGGACTGTGCTTGAGGGCCACCCTCTTCCCGCTCTCGGGACGCTGGCGATTTGGAGCCGGGAAAGGAAGGGGACTCAGGCTAGGCTGACAGGCGGGGCTGGCCCGAGGCTCGCCGAGGGCTGTGGAGGGCAGTGCCCGGCTCACGCGCCGCCAGCGCGCTCCAAGTGCCCCAGCGGGTGCAGAAGCAGAAGATCCATCGCCAGCCTTCTAGGAAAAGAGGTCGGGTGGCCTCCTGCGGCCGCTAGGACCTTCCCCCCTGAGCCCGAGTCGCGAATGCGGGGAGGAAGAGAAGGAGGAAGGTCAGGCGCTCGCTGGAGTCCCAACTCCAGCCCACCAGCGCCACTCCCCCTTCCCAGCCGAGGCAGGAGAGGCCGCGCTCCCGCTCGCTGGCTCCTCCGGACAGCCTCGAAGTCTCCAGCAAGCTCCTCCTCGCGCCCTAAGGACTGTCCCGAGGGCTGGGGAGGAGGCCTCCTGGGCGTGCGCCCAGGGCGCGTCCGTCGCGCTCCCCCGCGCGCCGCGAAGGGGACTTCCTCCGGCTCCGGTGTTGGGCGCCCGAGCCGCGCCTGGGCTGCACCGCTGCTGTGTCCCGGGCCCCGAAGCTGCGCGGCTGGCCTCCACTTGGCTGTTGCGCCCACTCCTCCGACTGGCTAGGTGCAAGTGTGTCTCCAAACTCCAGGTTCCCGCGAGGTGCTAGCCCTGCTACGAAGTGGGGACCCAGAGCGCGCTGCGCCTAGGGCCTCCCAAGGGCTGAGTGGCCACGGGCGGGAGAGAATTCCTGGCTGCGCTCAGGGAGCTAAGGAGAGAGCCCTAGGGGCGAGCGCCCAAGCCCCACGGCAGAAGGGCTCTGGATATTCGCAGCCCAGCCGTGGGCCCAGCGCAGGAGCGGAGCTGTCCCCGCACGCTCAAGCTAGAGACAGCGGGAAGGGGGTGGGCGGGACGGAAGCCAGGTCTGGAGCTGGGGAGGAGCCAAAAGCAGGAGAAAGCAGAACGTGGAGTTTTCCTAGCGCCAAACCTGGGAGGCGCGGAGCGCGAGCGCAGCTCGCCACTGATACCGGGTCTCCAGGGGGGAAAGCCGTGAGGACGGAAGTGCGGACCTTCTCTCGGTCTCCCCTCCCCCAGACCGAGGGGGCGCCAGCTCCACTCACGTTTCTGGACAGGAAAGGAAGTGTCAGATTGCACCCCACCCACTGGTGTCAGATGGGCAGCCCAGGACGGTTGCTCTCAAGTTGGAGTTAAATCTCATGCCTTCCTTTTTCTACCCACTACTGTTTTTGTGTTTTGTTTTGTTTTGTTGTTGTTGAAGGAAGGCTAGAGATTCGGTTCCAAAGCAGTGGCCGCAAATGAATGGGCTGGAGATGGGGACCTACTATGGGGAGGTGGTGGGAGTCCTGGCCCAGTAAGGGTCCTGTATAAATATACTCGAGGAGGAGGGGTGAGTGAGGCCGGGCGGGAGGCAGGCGCCGAACGCGGCGTCAGCTCAGAGGCTGCGGAGATTGGCGCTCACACGCGAGAGTTCTCCGGGTTCGGCCCTGGGACGCCTTTGGGCGAAGCGCGCCGCGGCCACATTCCTGGGAAACTGGACAACGCTGGCGATGTCAATGTTCCGCACTTGGAAACGAGTCTGGGAGCAGCTTTTCCCCGCTACTGTCCGACCCCAGGAATCTAAAAAGCGCCAAGCCTCCCGCCTCTCGGACGGCTTTGTGATGTGACATTTAAGTTTTGCAACGCATCTGACGACCTTCTCAGCAGGGGAGTAGAAAGAATGTTGGAAATGCCTGCGTACTGTATCTAACCGTGTTCGTGAGTCCCCTTGTACCACTTCACGGTGAAAAGAGTTGTATACGAACGTAAAGGGGACTTGCCTTTACCATTTCTTTCATTAAGGAAAAAAAAAACCTACAATGAACTTATAACTACAGGTGTTTGGCACGAGCGTTCCGTGTATATCAGAATTGTCCAACTTTGACTTTAGAATACTTCTTTTATTCCCCAGGATCTCTGATGCACACATTTTTGTAAATGTGGCGGACAGACTGCACCGAACGAGTTCCTTCTGGTAACTTTCTGACCGACCTGCTGCCCAAGACAGAATGAGTTACGAATTTCCCAGCACTCTCACCGCTGTCCATCTCTCAGCACCCTGAGACTTAAGTGTTTTCATTCACTGTCTGACGATTAAGTGAGCTATGGAGAGGCACGGCGTTTAAAATCGCCTACTTCCCTGCCTGACCACACAAGCCACATTACATTTGGGGGGTTGTTGGCATTTGCTTTCTTCCCTCCTCAAACAAGTCAAAGTCACTGTTGGAAGTAAAAGAGGGCGGGTCTTGCCTGCCCTTTCCTTACTCAACAATACCCTGTAACTTGTCACTAGTAATGAAAACACTTAACGTCTCTGATACCATTGCATGGAATTGGTTACGCTTCATCGGATTTTGGCATTTGGAGTAGATGGTTAACAAAGTCACACAAAATAGGACCTCTTATAACTCAAGGTGGTTGAGCAAATGTAATTTATGGCTCATATACATTCTATTTCTCTAAACCCCTATGATGACCATGGGGTTGAAAATGCAACCCTGCCATGGTTATGTAAGGCTAATAAGAATGCCCTCTGGGTACGAAGTCATACATTCCTGGTTATGGCTGTGGGAAAGCCAATGAGCAGAAGGACTCCTCTATTGCCACTCGGGGCTTGGAGCAGCCAAATCCAGTTAATTCATCATCTTGTTTCCAATGGGTCTTGACCCTCTATTAGTCTGAGGCTTGCCTCACTGTTGGGAACTGTGAATAAATTGTTTTAAATATTCATAAAATTAAGTCTGGACTCCTTTTTTAAAACCCAGTATAAGTATGTGAGCTTTTAAACCACAGGCGAAAGGGGCGCCTGGGTGGCTCAGTCAGTTAAGCGTCTGACTTCGGCTCAGGTCATGATCTCACCACTTGTGGGTTTCAGCCCCACGTCGGGCTCTGTGCTGACAGCTCAGAGCCTGGAGCCTGCTTCAGCTTCTGTGTCTCCCTCGCTCTCTGCCCCTCCCCCCCCTCAAAAATAAATAAACATTAAAAAAATTAAAACACAGGGTGCAATGTAGTGGTATTTCTGGAAAGAAAGCATTCACAAGAAAATTATTTGGATTTTTTTAATATTTTTTAAACTATTTTGATTTCCAACCTGACTGCTATTAGGTTTATTTTACAGTCATTGTGGTTTGTGGCATATTTATTCATTCCTAGTGAAGGCATCCTATTTTACTCTCGTTTGTTATATAATCCCTTTGCTTATATAGACCCAAATCACATTGGCCTTTCTGATTGACTGCCATTTTACACCAAACTTGATTAAGGAAGATCTGGGTTTCATTTACCAATTTCAAAAATCACGGGTTCTGTTACATTGATCCTAAGAATCTTTCTTACAATTCATCAGCCTGCTTCATAAGCAATATAACTAGTAGTCTAGAAATAAATGGCTTTGAATATATATACTTTAAAAATCAGATCTCTAAGACGTTGCTCCTTTATGAGGGCATTTGCTAGTGAAAAGTGGGGTCCAGGGACGCCTGGCTGGCTCAGCCGGTAGGGCATCCAACTCCTGATGTCAGGGTTGTGAGTTCAAGCCCCATGTTGGGCGTGGAGCCTCCTTAAAAGTAGTGTCTGGGGGCGCCTGGGTGGCGCAGTCGGCTAAGCGTCCGACTTCAGCCAGGTCACGATCTCGCGGTCCGTGAGTTTGAGCCCCGCGTCAGGCTCTGGGCTGATGGCTTGGAGCCTGTTTCCGATTCTGTGTCTCCCTTTCTCTCTGCCCCTCCCCCCGTTCATGCTCTGTCTCTCTCTGTCCCAAAAATAAATAAAAAACGTTGAAAAAAAAAATTAAAAAAAAAAAAGTAGTGTCTGTACTTGTTTACTTTTCCCCCTCAGAACCAAAGATGATCAAAACCTTAGAATATCTTTTATTAAGGGCAGAACAGTGTGTTCACTATTCATTCCCCATTATAATGATCCTAGAAATTCAGGATACAAAAATATATAGTCCATCTGGTCATGGCACAAGAATATTCTAATGAAAGTTCTAGAGTCCTTGATCTGACATCAAGGCATCCTCTTATCAAAAGATACTAGAAAACTCATCAGTTTTCTTTCTACTCCCTTGAGATGCTATTCTACAAACACATACATCTTACTACCAAAGGATATATTCTGTTAAACCTAAATTTCCCTTTTCTTAACTTTATCCCTTGAAATTTTTCTCATCTCCAGCCAAAATTCCTCTTTCCTCTTGGTGTTCAGACCCTCAAGCTATTTGTAGATTTTTATCATCCCCCTTGGGTCTGACTGTGGTTTGGCTACACTATAAAGTTCATATTTTGCTTTAAAACAATCACTGTAGATGATCTCCTCTGCGTTCCCTCCAGTTGCTTATTTCTTTTTAGTCCTGATGTCTAATATTCTAGGTTGGGGCATCTTAGTTTGCCCTTGTTTGTCATATAATCCCATTGCTTATATAGTCCCAAACCACATTAAACTTCCTGATTGATTGCCATATAATATTTCAGAGTTCTATCTGATCGGCTCCCAACTCTTAGTCAGCATCTCTGATCTTTCTTTAATTCTGCCTGTGTCTCTCAACCCGATTGTGATCCGTCTGATATCATTTCTACATTTTCAGTGGTATCTGGGGTAAACAGTTCACAGCATCTCACTCTCTCATAGAAGTAGTCAAGGGTTCTGCCTTAAGCTCCTGAAACATGAATGGGGGACAGGTTTTTAATCTGTGTGATGTGGAATATATGAGAAACGTGCAGAGAACTTTGCAGGACTTAAGAATGCTAATTACGTTGAATAGTCAGGCTGCCCCATGCTCAAACTACTTCTTGATTTTTAAGGTAGGATTTTTTTTTTTTTTTGCAGGTGAACTAAGACTCTTTCTTCTGATTCCTATTCTAGGACCTCCCTGAATGAATATAATTGCCAAGGCACTTAAACTACAATTGATGGAT